AAAAAAAAAATACCCCGAAGACGGATGGATGCGTCTCGATGAAACGAAAGGAACAAAAAGAAAAGAATAATCGAAACAGAGTTAGCGTACTAAGTACCTGAGAAGCGTTAGCATGATGATGGGCAGGTGGGGGCAATGGAGGACTCTGGGATCGATGCGGGGGAACAAGTCCATATTGGCCCCCTGGCGATGGAGCAGCACCCGCACTCCCATGCTAGCCAAAACCAAGCCAAGTTTTAGTTTGTGTACATCGATATATATATATTTTTTTTTAGAACAGACGTACGTCGAATCAACTCGGTCAACTCTTTCAGACGAGAGTTGCAAAACGTACATGTGTAACAGAGAATTTCTTTCTTTCACGTTTCGCGCTTACCAGTGGTCCTTCGTACGTCGATATCGGTACTCCTCGTGCCTGAGGGCTCGCAGTTGGAACCATGATGCAACCGGACATCGACACTTCTACTTTCGGTGGCTCCATCGGACCCGTTATCTACGATTGTGAGAATTTAGAGAGTTTAGAGAGGTGTCAGCAGGTTAGGTTAGGACACAACGTCACTTTGAAAGAAAATTCGTTTACCGGCGATGGTTTCGGTGCTGGAGGTCTCGAGCAGCTGACGCTGCCAGGCTGAGGGGGGTTCATCAGGTGCGGCTGAGTGGGTGGATTGGCCACGACCATCGGCGGCACCACTGCCTGCAGCAAGTGGGCCTTCGGATTCAGAGGGTGGGGCTGCCCGTTGATGGCCTTGAGCGCCGTCGGTTGGGAGACCACAGGCTGATGGATTCTCGGTGTCGGCGGTGTCGGCGGTGTCGCGCTAGCCGGTTGGACGTTCATGGCCAATTTCTGAGGGAGGTTCATTATCGTGGACGTCTGCTGCTGCTTGGCCGCTTGCAAGAGATGTTGCTTGGGATTCGGTGGGGCGCCGGTGTTGTTCAATACCGGCGACATGGGTTGCCCTTGACCTTTCCCTCCGTTCGCAGCAGCGATCTGCGCCACCGTCGTCTGCTTCGTGCGGGGACTCAAACTCGGCGATGCTACTCTGTTGCTGGAAACTTGCAGATGCAAAGCTTGGACGGCCGGTTGCGCCGGTTTTATGAGATTCGACGGCTGCAGCACCACCGACTGGCCAACCATGCTGGCAGCCGTCGTCGGTTTGGTGATAACCACTTGCTGCTGTTGTTGCTGCACCGGAGTAGCTAGCTTGCTAGCGTTCAAAACGTGAGCCTTGAGACTCGTGGGTTTCGACGGGGTAGCTGCTGCTGTTGGTGGCGTCGTCTGTGGAATGGCTGTCGTAGCTAAAGTGGCAGCAGTCGTGGTGGAAATGGCGACGGAGGTGACTTGAACCGCCGGCGACTGCGGTTTCGTGATGACGCTGGTCTGCGGTTGAATCTGTTGAGCGTGATGTAGTAGCTCTGTAGCTTGTTCCTTCTTCAGTTCCTCGGCAACGGTCAGGTTCTCCGGCTGAGAAGGAGGAGCTTTCGCTCGCGGCAACGCCTCGGTGATGTTGGGCGTCGAAGCCGGGATGATGTTTCTCGACTCGCAGGTGGCTCTACCGCCTACGACCGCTTGCGTCTGTCCGGAAGCCGTGGATACCGGAATATACTGACCTTCTTCCGACTCTCTCATCGGTATAAGCATTCCAGTCACCGGATCGATCAGCGTCATCGGTTCGTGAGAAATCGACTTTTGCGTAGGTGACGGAGCAGTGGCGACAGACTGTTGTTGTTGCTGTTGCTGTTGTTGCTGGCTCGTTTCCTCGGGCTTTGGTGCAGCAGTCTCGTCTCTAAGTGGAGCGACAACGCTCTCTTCCTT